GTAACAGACAACTACAAAATACTACATTTTGATAACATAAATACAGAATATATAAATATACAAGTAATACAGCCATACACAGCTAAAAAATAGGGTGTTCACTTAAAAAGAGAGTTCCCAATGCAAAATATCTGGCAGTCCCTTCACAGTCACTGCTGAACAGAACAACAGTGGCAGAACCAAGAGGACATGGGCTGTGTCCTTTACGGAGGCAAATGACCGCCACTTTACTGGGGAAGGCCTCAAGTGAGTGAGGCTGTGCCTAAGTCCCCCCCAAAGGCAACACCTTCCGTACCTGCCCAAAGGCAAGCACGTGCCTAAGGAGCCCCCTAGTGAGACAGATTGAAACCTGAAGCCCTGGCACACTGCAGCGGGTGCAGCTGCTGTCTGCCAGTGCCACCAGGTGAGGAGAGGGGCTGGCACCTAGAGATGGACCAGCACATGCAGGAGCCCCTGCTCTCCATGGATGTGGGAAGCGCTTTGAGCATTGGATTGTGTGCAGCGCAGCCCTGAGCACTTCATACTTGCAGTACTGTGGCTCCAGCTTCTGCAGCTTTGTTGTGCTTCAGTATACCCTCTTTCCTTTCACTTTTGCGACAAAATCTGGCACTTGTAAGAGCTCTTTCCATCTTTTTTGCTTCTGCTGTTAAATTTTAGCAATTTTTTGGGGTGGCCAGGATTACTGATTTGAAGAAGGTGCTCTCACAAACCCCAGCTTGCAGCACCCTGGGAGCATGGCGGAGAGCTGGGTTCCTGGGGTACCTGGGAGGCTTTGGATGTACCTCTGATTGCTAAGGAAGCTGGAGGGAGTCCTGAGCAGAGTGAGAAGAGGTAAGTGGGTTCACACCATCCCTGGAAGGTATGCCAGCATGAAGACCCTTCCCCATGCAATGATGGCACAGTGAAATGGCTGCCAACAGAAGAGCACTGACCTCCTTCAAGGACATGGGAGTATTCATCAGACACAGGCATGGTGGGTCTGAAGAATCCACTCAGCAGCCATCGTGAGACTGGAGCGAATCATGTGTGAGCATGGTTAGCAGTGACTGAGCCAAGTGGTCCAGGTGTTTTTAACGACAGATTTTAAAGAAGAAAATGAGATGAAAATTCTTGGGATGCTGTTTCAATCTCATTCAGTTTAACTACTGTATTTTAATTACAACTATAGTTCATGTTGTGACTGTGAAACATATCTACCACCAGTCCCTAAGCACTTAGAACACAGGCTTCATTCCATAGTACTTTGGAAAATAGTGGGCTGAGAAGAGCACTACATGGTAGGAATTGTTCCCTTGACATTCAGCCATGCAATGAAACACACTGCCACCCAGCTGAGAGCCACTTGGGTTTGGTGGCTGCACGGCTCAGAAACCATTTATGAATGTAGGAAAATCTGTGTGCTATCACTGCTTTTATGAACAGATCTGAAGACCTCTGAGGAAGATGTAATGTAGTGTATTCACTCTGATCTCACAGAGATCCTTTTTAAACATTATTGAGCAAACACCAAAACCTAATTAATCATCTTTTACTTAATTGCATCTTGTCACCGCTTTACCTTAACATGTATTCCTTGCTTAGCCAAAACAACATGATTGAAGCACTGTGAAGACCTCACTTGATGCATTTATATTAGAGAAAGGTTAATTTCCTAGGGAAAATGATCACTGTAAGGTGCATGTAATAAACTGCTGTCGTGACCTCTAGCCTCCAAGCTCCCATATGTGCAATCATTGTTTGTGGTTTCTGTGGAAGTGCCAGATGTTAAGAATTTTTGGCAAGGGTTTATCAACTTGACTCAGTATAAGGTATTACTGTGATATGGCCCATTAAACATTTTACTTTTACCTGATTGGTGACATTTCCCTTGCCAATAGAAGAGTAAAAGAAAAATCAAAAAGGTCAGAGGTTGCTATATAATCTTTTACTGCAGGTCCCAGGTTAAAACCACAATGATCACGCTCCAGTAGGATAATTCATTCCACAAAAAAAAAAAAAGTGACATTTATTTTGTTTTAATGAACTTTGGCCTTTGCCAGATATAATGGGTCTGCTGGAAACCTTCGGCTATACATTCCTTCTCTTGACCAGCAGCACACAGTGGCAAGAGAAGCATTATGTATGCCAGGCAGCTCAACTTTGTAGTGCCTGTGGCACCAGAGGTGGAGGAATATAGCTGTGACACCATCACACAACACACTGACGGAAAAGAGATGGTAGATACAGGCACACTGCAATGAAAGAGAAAGAAAGGGTGGCAAAACGCCATCTAAAGAACAACAAAGGATTATGGCTATTTTAGCTATCAAATGGGATATCTGATCCTTTTCTTGGAAATGGATTGTATTTTCAACATCCAGGACAGAAGCAGAGGTAGAGTTGGGACAAAGCAGTTCTGCAGGTCACATTATAGCTCTCATACAAGTCTCTGTTTACATTAAAAATATCATTTCAATTCTGCCAATAATGAGGGACAAAGCAAGATTTGTGTCTAGTTTATAAATCCAGTATGTTTGAAATGGTCAAGATGCTTTTCTATGACTCCAAAGGAGCACAGGAGGAGGATGGGGGAAGAAAACAACATGAATCCATTGAGATTGGTGGTTATGAATGTTTATAATGTGCCATACAAAAAGCGCTTGCCTTCTGCCCTGCAAGCAGTAAAGCTCACCTGAGTTCCTTATAAATATTTATTACCATGCAGAGAGAAAGGAAATTCTTTATTGTAATACACAAGGAAAGGGAAAGAAAGAAAATTCTTCCAATTTCAAAACATCAGGGCATTCACAGCCTTCAACTAAAAAGCCCTATCAGAAAGTGAGAGAATGGTCACCAGCAAAAGCACACGAGTGTAAAGGCCCCAACTCCTCAGAGAGACGAGATGGGCAGCTGCAGGGAGGGGAGTATCCTCCAGCACCTGCGTGGGGCCATGGGATCCTCTGGGCACTGGGAATCGTGGTATGGGTTTGGCTGCCGTGCAGCAGCAGAAGGGGTCTATCTCCAGATCTGTGCTTCACTGCTGTACTGTATGCACAAAGTCTTCACCCCCAGTGCTTGCCTCACCTCCATAGAGTGAATCTGCATTAACTTATCTCAGAGATAAAAGTTTGCTTGCTTAATAAACCCCTAACTTACGGTCCACATTTCCACTCCAGAGAGAACCGTGAAGGTATTTGTTTCCTCAAACCTGGCCTCTGATCCTTGCCACCCACCCCTCCTGGGCACACGGAGAACTGTTCTGCACCAGGAAGAGGTGAGCGGCCGTGGCGGAGTCGCCTGGCAGGACGGCGCTGGGCGCAGTGGGCGCTCCCTGCAGGGATGCTGCCCCTCAGCCAGGACCCCAGGAGCAACAATGCTCTCGTGACCATGCTGTGACCTTTGCAGACTGCAGCTCTGCCGCACTGCCAGTCCTTGGCCCAATGTCATCCAGTACGCTGGACTTGGTTTTGGCTGTTACGGTCAATACAGTAAAGGTATTTGTTTCAGAAAGTTCTATCCTGCCAATCTTTCCCCATGAGCTCTATTTTGAACACACCCTGTAATTACTGATATTACTCTGGCAAATTTTCCCCATGAAGTTTTCTCCACTAAGAACCATGACTGTACTTGTCTGCCTCTCCACATTATAATTATCACCAGGCAATATTCATAACTATGCTATTATTATTTATGATATTTTATGCCCTACGAAAACCTATATGACATATGCTCAGACTTCAGAGTCTGAGATGATCAGACTTCAGCTGGGACATTCCCTTCAGTTCAAGCACTTCTTGCTCCTCCATTTGCACTACTACAAGGTTAGCTGGAGTATTTATTATGAATACAGGAGTCCCATCGGTGTGAAACCTGCAGGCATTTGATTTGACTCCAGTTCAATACATCCAAACCTCCCATTGTGATCTCTTTCCTACTATTTTTTCTCAGTTGGTGCACATTTCAGGACTTCTGATGGCTCAGTCTAGAAAAGTATACCATGGATTCTTGCTGAGGCAAGACAATTAACTAAAGGAGTGCTTAATTATTCCAGATGGACAATGGAGTATAGCACACTTATGCCTCATGCAAAACATAAATAAACAGAACAGAATGAACAACACATCTGCCAATCGTAGTCTAGACTTAAAGTTTGGCACTGAAATACTTAGAAACAAAGTAAATGTTTTATTCTCACACTTCAGAAAAATTAAATAAAACTCTGTCTTGTAAGCACCTTTAGTTTTAATTATTTAAGATCAATACTAATCTAAACGCCTCTGTCCCTAACATGCATCTCATCTCCAGGGTCATGGACCTTTTTTATTACAAAATCACTGGCTTTCTCCACAAATATTACTGTTAACCAGTTTCCTCAATATCATATGTATAAGGGCTATAAACTAATGAGCAGATCTAGGTTATGTAGAAAAAGTGTAGAAAGGAAACAAATGTTGAACGTCACATTTACATTAACTTCTCACAGTTCAAATGGCAATTTATCCACAACATAGTATGAATCATGCAGCAAGAAAAGGGAGGAACCTCCAGTTTCTTTGATTTATTTGTCATATGGTTGACTGATGTCAGTATCAGTGGCTTAAAAAAATTTAAACATCCAAAAGAAAGGAAGAGAGAAAGGAGGAAAAGGTCTAGCTTTCCACAAAATCCATTTCCTTTACAACGAAGAGCTCAAACCAAACCAAAACAAAGGCTGCTGAAGAGCAGAGTCTTCTGTTCCTCTCATGCTTCTCTCTTGGTCTGGTGCAAGCTGAGAATCAAGGGTATGTGACTGGTAGATGTTTTTGTTTATATATGTATGTATGTAGGTAGGTAGGTACAGATATATGCACGTACATACATACATATATGCACACCAATACAGTCTTCCTAAAAATGCTCTTTGCAGTCCAGAGGCAGCAGGAGTCACTGTGAAGGAAGAGCTGGGCAACATATGGCTGTAGAGTCTGCACTGGAAAAAGTCACTGGCTAAATACACGCCGGCTGTTTGTTTTCGTTTATTTTCATGAGGCGAAATACGAGCTCTGCATAGAGTACAGCCTGTCAATGGGGTTTCCTACCCTAGCCTGCATGGAGTTAACTTCAGAAGAGGCAAGAAAACAGTCGCTCAAGCTAGTTAAAGAGGTATCACTGTCGATATCATGAAAAATGGAGTCGTTTCCTGCAAATGAAATGTATACATTAAGCTGTATTCTGTGCAGCCAGAGGACACAGTACACACGGATGCGATGCTTGTATATAGCACACTGCAGCAAAAGGGAATGCTTCTGGTCTTGTTTTTGCATGTTAATGCAATTTGGCTCTAAGGGTCTGACCTATAAAAAGAAAGGCTAGCAACCAATTTGCAGAGTTCAGCTGGCAGCAATATCATTTAGAAATGCGGAAGCCTGCCAGTTTCTAATATATATGTCAGTCAGCAGCAAGCCTTGGCTGATGACGTGAGCAAACAGTCAGGGGAGAAGAGGGCTCCTGGTGCCCCACAAGCTGCCACTGAGCACATGTGGGGGCTCAGGGCAGGAATGCAGGACCACTGAGCCCACAGAGGGAAAAAGTGGCCTGAGCACCATAACCAGTAATGGCCTTGGTTTACACACGAGGCAAAACGCTGGCCGACAAAGCCGACCGGGCCCAGGAGGAGGCCCAGCTTTCCTGGCCTCAAATAAGCTATAGCTGTAAATATGCTTTCTTTTCAGAAAATTCCACTCTTTGTGGACTGGTTTGGAACACAGCGCCATTTATTTCCCTTAGCAACTACAATTTCAGCTTATTTCATATTTTAAGGTACCAGAAAGAGCTCTAGCTCAAGTAATGTGAGATTTAGGAAAGTGTTACTCTGGTTCTTTTTCCTTACACGTTCATTTAAAATGGCTTTGTCTTAATTCCTGCATTGATTTTGGAACACAGGAGTTGCCTCCAGAGGAGTTTTGCTTAGATGTTGCTAAGCACATTGTTAGCAACAAAATCACAAGTCATCTAATGCTCATTTGCACTTCAAATATCCTACAGTATTTACCAAATTGCCTGGCGAGCACTGTGGTCTTGCCCCAGTGGAAAAAGCAGTCATACAGACCCAAGCCAGATTTCTTGTTAGCCTGTGCAATCCATGCTCATGACAGTCACGTGCACGTTTAACTGCAATGAAGTGCTCCCGGTCAACACAAAAGAGTCTGATGTAAACAGGTCCTCTTTGTCTACGGCAAGGCCAATAGTCACAGTCTGAGAAATTTTCTGAAATTTTATTTAAGTGCCACACTGCAATTGTTCGGAATCAATTGTTAGGCAGCTAATATGCTTGAGAAGCATTTAGTGTACCTATTCACTTGATGTTGCATGTAAGGAAATTGTAAAAGCAAACCATCATCTTGATTTTGGACAGAGAATATAATTGTGCAGGAGCAATGTCCTGTGGTGACATATCTCCCGATAGCTCAAAAACAAATCCATGCATGTGATCTGAGGGATCTTTGAGGGTTGGTTATTTATTTTTGAATAAATGGATCACTTCTCTTTATTAGACCACTTTTCAAGGCACTATCTTCCCAAAGCTTCTAGGAAAAAGGAAAAACTTGTGAGGAAGGTAAGGAAAATTTGTCGCTGTTTATTTTTAGTCTTGGACAGTGATTTAAAAAAGTAAAGCTGGAGAGATAATGTTGCTTTTCTTTATCATTTATCAAAACTATACTCTGTAGTAGTGTCCAGAAGGTGGGAAGAGCCCTCTTCTACCCTTTTATGTGTACATGAAAATATACACACAAAACTGACCAGTAGAAATTCCTTTGTACAAATCCCAGAAAAAGACTATAACAGCAAGTAACTCCGTTGAACCTTTGGAGTGTGAACCAGCATACGAACCCTGCTATTTCTGATGCGGCAGAATGATGCATGCCTTACCATAAGGGTTCATGTGGTCGCCTGGCATTTGTGGAGGGGTCAGACCCTGCTGAAAAGGGTCTGTGCCATAACTGCTTTGATCCATTGCTACAATCTGCTGCTGTGGTGGTGCAAGTGGTGTGTAAGATGTCATCATCCCTTCCATTCGGTTAGACATTACTTCTGCAAAAGACACAGGAGGGCACAGTCACTGCTTAGCAACAGAAAGGCTGCAGATATCACTGCTGATGACATTACTGAGCATAAGAGCATTGTGAATGCATGTAGGAGTCTGTGCCATTCAGAAATGCCTTCCCAATCTTGTTTGAGAGTACAACTATTAAGTGCAAAGATCTCTGGACCATGTTACCCACTTGTGGGTGCTGGCTCATATCTTCCCAAAGTCTCCTTGTAACTGCTATAGCCCTTACATTCTCTAGTGCCTGTTCGTGCCAGCCTAATACTGCTAATGCAGAAACAGTACAGCAACTCTCTATGCTGGAGTGGATGTCATGTGGAGCAAACAATATATGTTTCCTTAACAGTAGCCTGCAGAGCAGCCCCTCATGCAGCTCATGATCCTCAAGGTCATGACCGTTTTTCTGCTCTGCGTCAGAAGAATTTGAGGCTGCAAGGCCTTGAGATGCTGCTCTTGAGCAGCAACCCTGAAGCTGCAGGACATGTCCTGGCAACTCTGCCCCGGACCTGGGGCACAGGAGGGGCTCCCTGTAACACCGCTGAGCACGGTACCCTCTCTTCATAAGAAAATAAAGCTAACTGGAAGATCTCCATTAAGTGAGCTTCCTGGAGATTTCCTCCAGTGTAAGCTCCTCTGCACTGCAGATTTCTTACAGGAAGGTACTGGCTTCTGTAAGCACCTCGTGGGTCTGAGAAGAATTTGGGATAACAGACCACAGTCACTCAGACACAGCAGCTCTGTGTGCTACCACAGGTAGTGGTACACACTTGTGAATACCCTGCATGGCTGTACTGAGACAGTATGTATACATGTGGAAATGGCACTTTGAGAAAGCTTGTAGGTTCTTTCCCCCTTGCTTTGCCTCCATCACAGATCCCCTACCTTGCCCTAGTCGCTGAGAGTTTTGTTGCTCCTGCTGCTGCTGGTGCCTTCGTGCTAGTTTTTTCATCTGAGCAAAAGAGGAAGAACAGAACAATCTCATGGGTCTGAATGGAACAATTTTTTCTTCTTCCAAAATTCTCTGTAAACATCAAATCAATCAATACAGACCACTTATATTCATGCATATAACACTTTGGGTTCAGTTTCCAGTTCACATTTGCAAATAAAATTTACTCCTGGTGTTGTCATGCTTGTAGGACATGAACTTAATGTTCGTGTTCCTGCATGGATGTAGACAGCAAAGCATGCAAAATGTGCATAGTTCAGTCCCTTGGATCGTTGTGATATGTTCAACATCTTGGGGGTGGGGAGAAGGGAGTCCCTGTTGCAGAACAATTCGTGTATTACTTTTGAGAACTTGAGAAACAACCTACCTTTGCTCTTTGGTTTTGAAACCAAACCTGGACAACCCGCACACTGAGTCCTGTTTCAGCTGCTAAAGTTTCTCTGACCTAGAGGAGGAAATGTTTAAAGCTGTATTTGTTTTTCCCCACATGTAGTAAGTCACATTATGAGGAAGATAATTGCATTTACAATAAGTACTGCATGCACAGAATTATTTTTTTTAATTCCTCATATTTTTGCACAGTCTATGCAAGCTCTGCCCTTCACATCACTACTTTCATAAATAATAAACAAGTATTCTGAGCAGTGTGAAATGTTACTAAATCATTTAATGATTTTTAGTTTACTAATAAACCAGTTCTGCATGAAAAATTACAGACTTAGCTATGAATTATGTTTATGCTTTTGGCAACAGGGCACACTGCACTGTCCCAGGAGACGCATTTTGTACACCTTCAGGACAGTGTCACTTTTAGCAACAAATTTTGTGATACAACTCCACTTTTTTTTTTTTCTCACCAGACAAACTCAGGATTAAATAATTTTCTAGATTAGTTTTCAAAAGATTTCATTTTCATCAGCTTCATCATGCCTTTCCTTAGCTGCTACAAATGAGATAACACCATGGTTAACTTTCTTAAAAAAACAGGACTGGAAGGACAAGTGGTAGGTCCAGGGCTGTGCACCCACCTCCCCAGAAAGTGAATCCCTCTGCGGTGGGAAGGAGGGCTTGAAGTCACTTTACCCAGGTTCTGAAAGCCCATTACTTTGTTTTACAGCACGCAAATATGTTGCTCTATGGGAATCAGTCACAGAGCTGCTCTACATAATGAATAACAAAAAATGACATAGACATAGAACTGGTCCCAGGATGCTTTCTGGTTTCTGCATTCACCTCCAAGCGCTTGCTGCTGGCCCAGGAAGGGGCAGGGGCCTTTGTGACCTGATGCTCTTACCCTGTGCACTGCTGGGTGTCAGAACAGAATGTAGGTCTCTATGGAATCACCTACCTTCCTACAGGGCTTGGAAGACACTTCAAAGGATGCTTTGAATGCTCGTCTCTGCTGCGTAGTGAGTATTGTCCTCGGTCGTTTAGGTCTCCTTGGGTCCTTCCCATCATCACTTCCTTTTCCTTGTGTTACTTGTCCTTTGGTGGGCTTAACATCTCCATCTTCATCATCACTTTTAACTGGTGAAAAATCAACAAGATATAAAACTATTTGTGTTCCACCAAGACAACGGGGTATTTGAGAACTGCTCTTCAGCTACAAACTCATCTACAGGTCAACGACTGTGTTTATCTGTGGACCTACATTTACTACAGGCAGGAGGAGGCTATCTTAAATCTGTGTGTATGGCCTAAATCAAATCCCACAAAAGGAGAAGAATATTTTTCTCTACTTAATATATAATCGAGGGCATGGGACAGATCAGGGGCTGTAAATTCAGAATACAATGCGGTATCTCCATAAACTGGTACAGGGACTCTTGGTACCCTTCTACCATCATCTGATTTCCTCTTTGCTCACCTGCTGACTCTGCTGCAACCACACTGGCTAACACACACCTTTACCTTCAAAGAATAGCTTCATCTTCTCCCTCTGCACTACTTTCAGAGAGGTGCCGCTGTCCCCAAGGCTGAGGCAGTGAAACAGTCTAAGTGCAAATATTTCCAAAGTATCTTAAAGTCTGTTTACATAAATATAGTGTAGATTCCAGAAATTGTTCTGAAAATGTTGATGCTCCGGAGATAATATTAAATAAAGTCTTTTCCCTGTCATTTCAGTATTCTTTCTCTGTTCATTACAAACTATCAATACGTGTATGCACAAATTTATTTTTCTTGGCAAAAACACAAATATGTACGTGCTTATGTAAATAGATTATTTGTATTTTCCGCTGTTAGGCTATGAATATTCTTACAGTCTAGTGATATTATGTATGCTGGTATATTGTACTATGAAATTTCATTCTCAGTGGCAAGCATTAAAGAATAAGTCTGAATTCTGATGCGAAAAACAACTTTTCAACTCAGTATATTTCATTTCAACAGACTACCAGGGTTTTTTTTCTACCAGAAGACATTAATGTACAATTCCAGGAACCTCAGCCTTAAGAAACTCACCATCATTTTGATATATTCAGAAATTACATTTGGGGAATTAACAAATTAGACTTTTATTCATTATTGGGTCTGATTATTATGCACCTAGCAATCTAATCACCTTTTACTTTAATAAGCATCTTTTGCCTAATGATTAAAGAGAAGTTCAGTCATTTTAATAACCATGACATTATTAACTTTCCAGCAAGCCATTTCTAAGGAAAGGTTAGTGAAGATTAGTATTGCTCATTGGAGAGTTACTTTTGTGTCCAGTGGATAAATATTTGATTAGAGAAGGACACACACTCAGCCAGGGGTACAGGAGATCATTTGCTCTCACTCAGGCACTTAGGAGATTTGTGTTTTCAATGCATTTGAGAACGGGAGACAAAACATCTCATTTAATTTGTCAACTTGTTTTTCAGGCTCATGTCTGGCTAACAGAGTATAATGGAAAAAAAACAAAAAGCACCTCCAGGAGTAAGAAACTATCCCTTGTGCCAGTGGAAAATGAAATTGAAAGCAAGCCTGTTTTGTACTTCTTCGGCAGCCGACTGCCCAGTTGATCACAAAGTACAAAACCCATGAAGGAACGTGCATCCATGCCAAACATGGACCTCTGAGGCAGGCAGCTGGCAACAGCCAACTTCCAGTCCTGGCGTGGCAAGCTCACACTCGCTGGTGGAAGGAGCAGGATCACCATGCTCTGCCTGCAGGGCTGGGCACAGCTCCGCACTGTTCTTTTCAAAGGGTTTGTCTGGATACAGACTGCAGCAGGTTGCTGAAGCTGGGATGGCAGAACAATATGCTGAAGGGCAAGTAGGAAACTCAGACACCTCATGCAAATTCACAAAGAGCCCAAACCCTGTGATATTGGGATGACAGAGCAAAGCACTCATGCTCCTGCAAATACAGTAGGGCAATAAATAACAAGAAAATATCTAGTCCTGCACACCCTGCTGACACAGCAGTGACCTTTCTCTTGTTGCGTTCCCAACCAAAAATATAAATTCGAGCAATGTGATGAATATGACTCTTGGATTAGGGACAATTACAATAAGGACAATTACTGTGCCTATTTTCCCATAAACTACAGGCAAAGATCCAAGTTGTTTGTCTGCTTAATGGAATGGTGATTGTTGATTTTCTTGGACATTTTCTTGGGAAATAAATGAGCAATTGTGATGACTGGCACCATACTGCACACACACTGTCTCTAGTCTTGGACTCAACCAGGGCACACACGCAACGAGAAGTTTCCAGTCTCAGTGAGAGCACATGGCACAGATAGGAGGAATGCTGTTCCTCCTGTTTATGCTTGAGCCTGACAGGCAGCCCTCACTGTAACTGCTGCCAGATGCTCTGGGTTTTGGACTGCAGAATCTAGACCCAGTGTGTGATCTTTTTATCATGTACAGTACTGTGCTCAGTCCCAGCCAGACAGCAAGCAGCTTTGCTCACTCTTTCAAAACTTTCTCTTGGAGGTGGCTGGAGGACACCCATCAGCTATCAGCTGGGAGAGCTCCAGGGCTTTCTTTAGGAGAAGCTCTGCTTGCACAGCATGGTGACCTGCCACCCATTTTTCTGGCTCATTACTGAAAGTATAGGAGCAGAAGATTCCCTGATATCAGGGCAAAAATATTTTTGGAGGAAGGAATGCCTGTGGAAAAGAGTAGGCTTTGAATGAGGTCTCAGGTAACTGAAGTCAGTCTGATTCACGTGCTGCGATCTCACAGAAACGCACAGTATTTACCCCTCAAGAAACCTCAACGTTTTTTCAACTTTACTAAGAAAGCAGCAAATTAAGGAAAGGAACAAATTCAGAAAGAACAACTGGTAGCGGGGATTTTTAGCTGTGCCTGCTAAGAGTTGTAACTTGTACGGTTGACAAAAGCATGTAGAGAAAGTGGATGCGTAAACGGATATGTTTTTCTTAAAATGCTCTAGAAGCTCTTCCAGCTTTTCCAGCTGGCACAGGAGTGGGAATGCTCACCTGAGTCGGAATCATCTGGGCTGACGGAGCTCAACAGGTCCTTTTCTTTCTCATAGTCACTTTTACAGAGCAACTGCCCTTCCTTAAGAACAAACTCATCCCCTTTTCTCAGCTGTCGCTCACAAACGCAGCAACAGAAGCAGCTTAAGTGGTAAACGCACTCCAGGGCTCTCATCACGAATTCTGTTGGGGCAATTTTTTCCATGCAGCCACTGCACTTAGCAGCAAAAAGCCTGAAAGAAAGAGAGGCAAAGAAGTCAAAGGGAACATCAGATCCACACACTGCATGAATTCAAACACATAAAGTTCTTTAATTTAGCTACAGATCAGACTGCCTCATACTTTTGTAGATGGGGGACTTGCATTCTTAGTCTTGGAAACATCACAACATATTCAAATCTCAGACACTTTGGACTGCAGATTCCCAAACTGCCTGTGCTGGATAAAAATATAAAGATTTGTTCTCATCCCACTGCTTTGTTCCTCTTTAGGATAAGAAACATTAAGGCACTCTCAGAGTTTGGATAAGTTCCTTCAAAACCAAACTTATTTTAATTCACTTTTTAGAGGAAAGGCTGAGCCAGACTTTTCTTTATGCAGGCGTTTTGATTTCAGAATATATTTCATGACTTCACCTTTCTGGTACTGCCTGTGTCTGAGGAGGCTATAACAAATGAACACAGAAACAAGCATGGAAACACAGTGCTGTTGCTGAGCAGATGACACACACATGCAATCACACACATGTAATTGATAAAGAGAGGAGTGAAATAATGTGGCTTTTCTTTGGACGTTGAGTTATTCCAGAATAACCTGTTTCCAAAGACAGTCCCGTGCATTTTAAATGGTGTGAAACATCCTTTGGCAGAGACAGGCAGTGATACAATCTGCTAAATTACCACTATAATCACAGGCTCTACAATATACACTATATTCCAGACTAATTCTTATTAAACCTTTATAAACCCCCTCTTTCATGCGTCATTAATTTTCTAAGATAAAGTTAGAATGATATTGATTAATTTTATTTTGCTTTTCTAATGGCAACTGGGAATCTCCTTAAGTGAGCTTTTAGGAAGGCGGCTGCTTCAAATAAAGATGAATAGCTGAGTTACGTCCCTGTACCACACAGTGGATTTGGTAATTTGAAATTCAGTGGCTTTTATGGCAATACATCAAAGCGCAAGGTGCATTAATATTTACATTTTTTCAATGAAATTAACACAACTGCAGTGATGCGTTCACAAGAAAAAGGAGATTCTACATTGCATGGTGGCGTATGATGATTTTTTGTTGGTTTTTTTTTCGTCCTCAGAATTATCACCTTTTTTATTAAGGGCAAATATGATTAATTTTAGAAGGCGCAGGCTGTGGCACCTATTGAGCCTTCCAAAGCCTCCATTTTGTCTGAGCTGAGAAAATCCAGCAAAATGGCAGTCACTAGTTCTTCAGCAAAGCAATGAAGTCACAAAATAGGCAAGAGGGAAAGGAAAATGTAAATACATTTGCATACTGCATCCAAAGAAAGGCAGACTGCCCAAGAACTTGTGTGGCTCTTACACCTGTATCTTTTGATCTGAAAAGAAATCTACTGTAGTAACTTTGCTGGTTTGTGCATATCTTTGCACAACCAGAGATACAGCACAACAGCTCTGCGTTGTACAAATCACAGAAGGAACACTGAGCAACTCCTTCTTGAGTACACAATGGAATAAATTTATTAAAGGAAAACTGACGGTGTGCAGGACCACCAGCCACTGCTGATGAAAGGGCCTCAATGTCATACTGTCTGCTGGGTCTGTCCACAACTTTTCTCTACTGTTAGAGGCAAACTTCAGCAGCAAGAGGGAAATGTGATTTTACGTTCTGGCTACTAAGCATCACAAGAATATCACAGTGCTTTCGCTAGCAACTTCCTATGCAGGAAATATTTCTATCTATGCACAATGGCATATCTGAAAGGATTAAAACACAATGGGTGAAAAAAAGAGCAAACAGATTTTAAGCACTTAAAAAAGTTGTTTCTGTTTAACTGCTTAAACCTATTTGACTCAGTTTAATTAAGCTTGTATCTTTTGTCTGAGGACTGTTGCGACGATGGAGCACACTTAAAGAATCTGAAGATTAGCAAATCTGGTGTGAAGGCATCCGGCTCCCCTGACTGCCATCAGTTCATTTATACTGGTGTGACAGTTAACCTGTGCACGCTTCAGTAAAACTCAATGGCTGGCTATCAGGAGGGATGGGACAGACCCTACATGTGGTAGCTGCTCTGCTGGGCTGCAGATGTAACAGCCTGACCAGGAAACATTGCTGCATTTCTGTTTCTACAGTCTCCAGGTTCCTGACTTCATCTGAATTTCAAATCAGTGCTACTAGCCTGAGAAATCTTAGAAAGAAACTCAGGAAAGTGACTGCGATCCTGCAGGTACAGGCACTGATCTGTCTAAAACCCCTCGCAATACTGCTGCGATGATGATAAAACCCAGCATTGCAGTCGGGCTGTTAATAAAAGTAGTGCTGAAAGATCGGTGTACTTTGGAGGCTTTCACAGAAAGAGTTAATGCAGGATGTCTGCTCCACCACCCCCCTTTGTAGGCAGACCAGGGAGGCCAGGCTCTGAGAGACACTCAAAGAATAAGGGATTTTTCTCTTTGAAAGAAGAACCTAGCAGAGATGGCTCCAAGAGAAATGTACATTAAGTCTTCCTAGACCAAACCATTCCTACTGCAAACCCACTGGATCAGCACCAGCACTACGTGGGCAGCACCGCAGAACTGCACGCCAGGGCCAGGAGAGCCCAGGCAGAAGGGAGCAGGCAGGAACCTCCCTGCTTCCCCTCTGAGTGGAGCAGTAAGGGCAGCAGCTTCCCTCGGAGGGCTGCGGGAGGCCGGACAAGAAAGGCCAGTGCAGCACTTCTGCAGAGAGCACATCAGCAGCTTGGGGCCGCTGAAGCTGAGGCTGGACTGACACTGCAAAAAATGGTGCACGACATTAGATAAGACAGCAGCTGTCTCCAGTTTTCTCCCAAGCAAGCTGCAAAATCTGCCACCGTTCGGTGGAAGTGCAAACACAAATGTAGCATTGTTTAGAAATAATTTTAAGGAGGAAAGCATACACTCCCCCTCACATTTCCTAGCTGGAACATAATAATATTCTGTTGTCTTCTTATCCTTGTGCTACAGCGTGTATTGTTTACGTGACCGGTGTTTTCTATGTCATACTGCTTTACCAAGTGGCTTTTCTTCACCCTTGTTTGCAAAATAAAAGATATACAAAGAAATGTATTATTGTCAGTGTAGTATTAAATCATTCAAATTAATGTGCATTTGTCTGACAATACTGTATTATTTTCATATGCTTAATTGTCCCTTGTCAATCTAACAACATCCCATAAACCTTACTTGGGTACTCTCTGCATTATAGCATGCACTCACCCATCTTACGTTGAGTTGGATGTAATTCTGTGATTATAAAATTTTCATTACATTTATCATTTAAAATGTCTATAGATGTTTTTTAGCTTCCAGAAAGTAACCCAGGGTTATGCACTTCTCTTTTTTTTTTTTTTTTTTTTGCACAAGGCAGTCTCACAACAGGAAACTAATCTTGACAAATGACCAGACTTTGATATCTGTGACCTAAAACACTGCTCATTAGACTGTTCATTTTATAAATGAATGGTAATAAACCTGTTGAGACGTGTAGGATAGCAAGAATACTTCACAGATCACCCATTTGTAGGTTTTAATCAAGGCAACACATTTGATGAGGAGCATGCAGGTATCTATGCAGAGACAAACACTGTCCTACTCAACTACATTTAAAGAAATATTTCTTTTGTTTTCTATACATTTTGCAAATAATTTGCATAGCTCTGACTTTTTACCCCCACGGCTGATTATCTCCAGCTCTCTTAAGTTAATGTCCAACCTCAAAATCCTTGGACTTGTTAAAGTATGCGGAGAGTGGAAATCAAATGCCTTTATTAGAAGCCCCAGGAAATCTCTGACTCCTAAGCACAACGAAAACATTCCAAAGAAAATTGTTCAAAGCAGACAAAGGAGAAAAGCAGAACAAGAAACCTTGTTTTGAATCAACGACTGCAAGAGTTTTATAAATAAATTATGTTGCATGGACTATTTTGAAAGACAACTCAATAACTTCAGAAGTTTTTAAGTGTGCTTGTCTCCATGACTGAACCACTTAGGAGATTCAGCTGAGCTCAGGTTTGGAACAATGGCCTGTTTGTCCATTCAAGTATTTGTAACAATCACCAGGAAGTAAATTTACAGTACAAGATAACAAAAAATATTCACAATTTTAAACTGGGTGAATTTACTAAAATAATTTTGCATTTATTGCAGGGCAATGAAATACTAAGACATGTGGCCCTGTCTTTAAACAGTAGAGGAAAATGTTCACCAGCGGAAGAGGCCATAAAGATTTTATTTGTTAGGATATCCCTGTGAAGTCAGGCTGAATCAGTAATCCTTAGGAACAACCACAGTTACATGATCTGTTGTGCCTTCCTGCATGGGCACAACCATCTGGTGTTTAATATGTATCACTGATTTATTATCTCTTGCACAGCTATCTTGCTGTAAGCTTGACCCTGATATGCTCCTGAGAATCACTGTTCTGCTGTTTACTCTTATAATGTCCTGACAACCCACACTTTACCTTTCTATTACTCATCCAGGTTCTTCATTTCCTCCTGTTTGTGGGCAAACATATTTTAATTGTTTTATTATAACTAATTTAATCTGTGCTGAGAGATCTCAATGTGCAGTGTGAAATTTGCTGTACACATTAAGTGCGGTTCAAGAGGTTTGTTGTATAGGACTGAGGTATAAAAATAGACTCATTCAATCAGGTTGTTTATTTACTGGACCTCTGCTGCAAAGCAGTAAATAGGGAGTTATTATCTGTTATTTGATATATGCGAGAGGACAGATGTTGCTGTCTAACTGTCAGAGATGTTGAAACATTTTCCTTTCTCTGTTATTCTGACATTATGTGTTGCAGGAAACTACAGCAGATAGCTGCATTTTCTTTATTTAATAACTCTGCAAAGATGGTGGATGCAAGCTTTTGTTAATAGCGTAGGTATAGTCTGAAACTCTGATACTTTTTTTTCTGATAATAGCCGGTATATGACATCCCTATTGTGCCTATATATCCAGCTGGGAGATCACTTGGCACTCAGAGAACAAAATATGTTAGAGACAAA